CAGCGGCCTAGTGGGACAGCGCCGTCAACGTAGAGGCGGAAGGCGACAAACGGCGCCGCTATCAGGCCGGGCGCGAGACGTGGTCCGTCCCCCCCGTGGCCCTCGAGACGGGGCTGGCACGGCAGGGCCGCTTTGCGCCGCCTGCGCGTGATGGCGCGGTACCGCGCCCAAGGGGGGGCGACGCGGCGGTTGCCAGCGCCCTGACGAAGCGCTTGGGGCCGAATTTTCGGTTGCCCGGCACTTGGCGACGACCCAGCAGTTGCGCGCGAGCCTCGGGGGAGACCGAGCGGTCGGCGCTGCTGCCCTCCGCGAGGCGGCGGCGGGCTGAGCTCGAGTGCGCGGTGGCGGCGGCGGGCCTGGCGGTGCTCCGGGGCGCGGTGAAACTGTCGTACATTTTCGTCCTGGGCTTGTTTATCTTCCTGTCGGAGTGCAGAAGTTCAGAGGGTGTGCAGTGTTTTGACCTTTCTGCTGAATCAGGAGGAGGATGGAGCGGATGGTGATCGTGATGGTGATGCTGGTGATGGCCGTGCTGGTGATGTTGATTGTGATGGTGGTGGTGGTGATGGTGGTGATGTTGATAATGCTGATGTTGATGGTTGTGTTGTGATGATGATGCTGGGGGCTATGGTGGTGAAAGTTATGGTGGTGATGGTGATGCATACGAATGTGATGCTGATGGTAATGGTGAAGATGATGCTGGTGCTGCTGCGGATGATAACGATGGTGATGGTGGCGGTGGTGATGATGACGGCGTTGATGGTGGTGGTGGTGATGATGCTGCTGATGATGATGGCCGGGGCCGAACTTGGATCGAACGCCGCGCGCGTCGTCTTAACGAAACGAGCGAAGAGGCGGCCCAAAATCCCAAACGAGCATCGCGGCCATGGCGTCCTCTCCGCGCTTCGGTGGAGGCGACAGTCACGCTGGTCACGCGGGCGTTAGCCATGCCAGAGCTTCATCGCCGACGACGATGGCCCCTGGTCGGCAGGATGAGAGCCCCGCAGCCACCAGAGCTGATCCACACGTTGCCCGTCGTTCCGCTGGCGGCGGAGGTCGCGAGGGTCCCATGGCAGCAAGAGGCCCCCACGGGCCGCGCTTTGCGTATGGCGCCACCACGCCGTGCAAACCACGCGGGCGCCCGCGACCCGGACTCCGCGCCCGCGGCGCGCCTCCCGCGGCGCGGGGCTGGACGCCGGGAGGCGCGGGGCAGGCGGCCTTGAGATTCCAAAGTTGTATTATAATGCCTGGGCGAACTATAGATCAACCCTGTGATTCCCCTGGGCCGCGCTATAGGGCAACCTTGGATTTTCGAGTGCATTGTTTTTTTTTCGTTAGCGCATCCTTCTTGGATCCCCTGAGTGAGGGGCGTCGCATATCATGCCCGCAGATGCGCGATCCGTAGCAGCGAAGGCTCGAGTGCATCGCGCTTCCTTTGTTCGCGCATTTCGCGCGGGCGCGGCCAACATGGCCAAGGACAAGCAGATGCAGATGCGGTCTTCCGCGGTGGGCGCCGGTCAGTTGAAGTCATTGGTGAAACAGCGCATTGGCTTGATCGAGCGCTGCCAGCTGAAGGGGGGCGCGGTTGAGTTCACGAAGAACAACATGCCTCTCCTCCTTGGGCTTGCAGAGCACACCACGCCCGTCAGGTGGAAGAGCTTCCAGAGCGCTGTGCTGCAGCAGAAGCCGAACATGCACGCGGATGATTGCAGGCGTTATTGCCAGGAAGTAACCCATTCATTCAGCCACGCGTGCAACAAATTCTACCAGGCGAGGACGGGGAGCAAGTTGGATGC